TGTCTCTTGACTGTTGCTCACGCGCTTAGGTTGCGGGGCATCGCGTCGAGAACGTGAATTTTCGCCGCAGTGATATTCGAACAGGATTTCCAAGGCAAGCAGAGGACAGGGCTTGGATATGCTTGTGTGTGCCAGCACGGTGGACGTAAAGTGGGGGTAGCCGGGACGTCATAGTGGGAGACGATGGTACGTCGGAGTGGGAGAGTGGTGGGGGTAAACAGTACCACGATTCTGGCATCACTGGACTCAGTGTATTCTGGGTCAATTTGACCCAGGATGGCAACGGAGGGTTAAATTTCTGAACGTTGTATCTTACCACTCTGTACAGCGTCAAAATTTGAGCTAATACGATACTTACAGACAAATAAAATTGCCTTATGTTATTACAATAAATTACGAAACACGTATTGACACAACTAATGTAAGATAACAGTTGTTATATTGTTACGAACCCATGTCGAGCGTCCAGCGGCAATATGTTGACGCTGTAGGAGATCAACCAGCGATGACTTTTGCAAGAGTAATACGGAATGGTCCACCAACCCCTGTAGGATTCAATCGCCGGTGACTGCATGAATTTCGGTGACCTGAGATAACACGCAAACGCCACAGACCGCCATAGAAACTTCGACCTTTCGGTGCACACGCGGTTCGTGCAACAACCCCATTAATACATTGTTGTTTCTCATTTAATTTCGTGGTCCTTGTGGCACTTCACGGTCATCCAATAGACGTAGATTAATCGAATTTCGTACAGATTCGCAATTACCGTCTGAATGCGTTAGTATTCGAGGATTTACACAGTTTCCCTGTATCTTCCTTACTTCGTTTCAATAAATCGTTTCCAATAATCATTTCACAATAATAAGTTGTAATTATTTTAAAGATAATAGCACACAGATTACTATAATTTTGGTAAAAATATTGAGCTTGTAATAGGATTAACGTCCAATATGTATAATTACAATTTGATAGTCAAGTGAAATATATCTGTTCCATTTTCGTGCAAAAATTAGTTTTAAAGTTATTATATTAATTATAAAATATGCCTCGTGCTCTACTTACGGAAACAGTTAATGTAGCAAGTAATTGATTATTTTCCATATTTATTCATTTTTACTCTTCAAAATTGCAAATGAATTGAGCTCAATTGATTAATACAATACTATTTATATGAAATGTTTTTCATACTATTCAAATATATTTCTTTTCAGCAACATATCTTCAAAAATTTCCAAACCATGAAAATATAATTTAACTCCCAATTTGATAGAATCATTGTATTTGTATATTGTATTCGGTAAATGATATATGCGATGCACGTTATAAATATTCCCGTGTTGCATACACATGTAAAAAGCTTCTAGGGTACCACCACTAGCGTATTGATTATCGTTAATATCTGTTTAAGCGTCCATTCTTATCCCCTTTCAAAATGAAAGTCACATTCATGGTTCTTGTATCAAATGTAAGACACACTACTGTGTTAATTCCAATATGTCACATGATTCATAAATATTTACGGTACGACAATTCCCACGTAGGTTATGAGTGTGTTATGAGTATTTCTTTTATCGTTTTATTAATTATTAATTTTAAAATTAAACTTCTATGCTACGATAAATTACTGTTCGTCATATAAGGCACTATCAGTTTAAATCTTCGTATTTTTAAGCATTCAGACAATACGGTAATTGTGATTACCGCGATCTTTCGCCAGAATCAGGAGACCAGAGCTAAAAGCGTTAGCTGTTTATCAATTTTCGCGTATCGAGTTTCTATGACTTGACGCTCGTATGGGATGATGATGGTGAATGATCGTGGAGTGCCTACAAAATGTTAAATCTCATCCCGGTAAAATATGTTTATATTTTTTCACTTGTGCCGAGACTGAAGCTATAAAAAATTCATTTCAAAAGAACGATAAATGATTTTGATTGAATACCAAAAATATTACACGTTAGAATTAATAGACCGTAGAATATGTAGCGATTTAATATATGTATGTATAAAAATATTTTTAATTATGTAATCCACAATTTTTCACAATCACATTGTTTGTTTTACCAGGAAGAGAAAACGAAAACCAAGTATGATCGGTGAGGTGCAAAACAGAAGAATTTTTTTAATGCGTGTGCGTGCGTGCACGTTGTTAATCTTTGAAAAGCTACATATACGCGAATGTGCTATTAGTTATTAATAGACTGCGAATATTTATACATTTATAGCAGGAACTAGAATGGGAAAATGCAATGGAATCAAACTTTTTATTTAATAGTAATTAAATTTCTTTACATAGTTTTGATTGAATAAACCCTTTTAAGGTAGATATCGATTTTTCCCTCATTCCGATTTCTGTAAAACAACTCATGATAATGAATACTGTATAAACATTCGCAGTCTAGTCATTAATGAAGGAACTATCAGTCAAAGGTACAAAACCTGCTTTTCGTGGTTCAAATGTTTTATTATAGAATTGGTGGTTGAAAATGGTTACTCTAAATTGCCGAAATAATTTTTACAATATACAACACATTAAATATCCCATTTAAATGTAGATGTCCAAATTGATGTTAACGTAGGTAAGTTAATTGATTGCTTAATTTAATTATGTGAAACATTGAACACGACAGTTAAACATTGAAAACGTTCGTTTATTTTCGAGAAAGTTTTATGTAAACATTCGTTTAATATGCATTGTTTTAATACACGTATAATTTAAACACAAATCTTTTAAATAAAATTGCTGACATTAATAATCATATGTCGGATTTCATACATTTGATCGATAGTGTATACTGTACGATTAATATATGATTTATTAATATGTATTTTGCATAAATCCTTTGAGTTTTTACGGATTTCATTTGCATTATACTACTGTTCAGAAAAATGTTTAAAAAATGAATGACACTTATTTATTACTCTTTCTTTGCATGGATCTAATTTGTCAAAATACGTATCTCTATTATTCATATTATTTTTTAAACACTTTAACTGATAAATGAGATAGAAAGGTTATTGTAAACTATGGTCTGTTTTTCGAAAGATGATGCCTGGGAGGTAGGCCCGAGTTTTCGCGGTGTTGCCGCGATCGCGAGACACCTACGGCACTTGTGTTTCTCTCACTCTTCGCGTCTTAGCCAATGACGTGCGACCGTCGACGTGAGTCCTCGCCTACGGTCGTCTGTCTCTTTCACTCTTCGCGTCTTGGCCAACGACGTCCGACCGTCCGACCGTCGACGTCTCTATCACACGTATTACAAACCTGTCGAGAAGGATCTACCTACAATCTCAAGGAGTGGGGACTGCGTTCGGCACGTGGCCGTCAATCATCCATTGTCTGGAAATGGCGGAGAATGTTGACGAGACGCTGAACGTTTTCACACGTCAAAAGTTAAAATTCATGAATAAGACAAAGTTGATTTCTTTTAAAAGAATGTATTGTACCCTAATATTGAGCAACATATTAAAAGGGGATTAAATTAACACGTAGGTTATTAAACGCTACACGCGGAAATCGCAGGGTACAGAAGGAAGTTGGTTTACCGAGCGTCTGAGCGAGCGGCTCTCGTGCCGAAGTGCCGGAGGATGGAAAGACACACACAGTGGCATTGAGACCGTGCAACGTCGCACGAAATACGCAACTTGTTACGGGGAAACGTAACGTGATGGTAGGAGGCGCCCAGCGACCGAGTTCCGTAGATGCTTGGTCGGAGAGAAAATGGACACAGCTCTTGTTTCTTTGATAGTTACAAGACTTCTCTGCTTTATTGAAGTTGTCACTGGGTTTTATATAGGCGGAATAGATACAAATTTCGGTAATGCTGGTTTTTGGGGAGGGGAATGCAGTCATGGGGCATAGTTCGGATATTAGTTACTATTTAAAGTCTAGAGGCTGTCTTATCGATGGTACGGAGGTAATGTGTGTTCAATATATGTATACAATGAGTAGTTTTGGTCGTTACACACCCCCCTTCGTAGATTGGATTTGGTCCCGCAAATCTTATGCGTTTCTTAAATCTTAATAGTTTTGACGGTTTTACAGTAGGAATATCTATTTCCCTTACAATAGGTAATTCTATAGGTCTAGTTAACAATTCTATATTTTCGGTGTGTAAGTCTGGTGGGTTGTCTTGAGACGTTGATGGTTCCCTCGTTGTCATTGATTGGTTACTGGTTTGACAAAAGAGATTGACGCATACGCCGCTGGGTAGGATTTTTCCAATCCCTGTTTTTTTTAGTAGCCAAAGTCCGACAAGTGCAATTGAGATGTAGCCAATGTATTGGATGGTTGTTGTGGTTGCTTCCTTCCACATTTTCGTACGTCTAGAACTCGAAATCTGTTCTAATTTGTGGTCCATGTTGTTTAATTGAGTATTATAATTTTCTATAATCTTGTGATCAGTTCGCAAAGGTAGATCCGGTATAACATGTTTAATATCGCTGAAGTCATATGTAAAGTTAACGTACTCGATATTGTTATAAATTGATTCAAATGTTACATTTTTTGAAATTCCGACAGTTGTGAAAAATGTTGTAGGAGTTAAGAATGTACAATCATCTACGGCTGAAACAAGAGTTGGTTCCGTAAACCTAACTGTTTTGATTTCTTTAAATGCGACTTGTACATCAAGTGGTTTTTCCGGAATAACTATATACCTATTACTAGCCGAAAGATGCAAGAAAGTTATTTCATCAATATTAACGGGTTTTATTGTACATTTATCTGGATGAGTGTTCGTTTTCAGTAATAACTGTATTTCGCAGTTAGGTCTCGAGGCTGTATTATGAATTGGTAATGTTTCCTTGCAGATGAGTTCATTGTGAATTCCTTTGCAATGTTTTTCTAAATAGATTGGGTCTACTGCGATATAATTTATTTCTTTTGTAATGTAATAATAATGCGGAATGATGATTATGGTGTGGCTTTTAGTTAGCTCGTTATAGCGCGGTATTGGGTATAGTTTAATTAAATGCCAAGTTTTGTCGTTTAGAATCGGAGTTTTAATATAATAGATGAGTTTACCGTTTTGTGTGATGATTTTTATATTACTAATACTAATAAGTGTCTGAAAATTATCTTCAATCAAAGCAATTGGAGATCTTTGTAATCCTTGCCGTTCTAAATCCTTTAAGTGCTTTATAAAGTCGCTTGGCTTCAACAAATGAGAATGAATTATACCATTCTTGCCAATGTGTATCGCGGTTGTTAAAGTTTCCAAATCTATTTCTAATTCATTTATTAATGAGTTTATTGTGAGAAGTTGAGTTTGCAAAGTGATTATCCTATTGCTTTGGTTGTACAAATTTATATTCTCTGCGTGAATACGTTGTAATATTTCTATGTTTTGATCATTTTTCACGGCTTTAATGATTTTAGTTTGGTTAGATATAATTTCACTCGCATCATTCTGATTTTTAAACAGGGTATTCATGTTTCCATTAATAAGTTTTAGATCGTCTTCATCTAATGTCCCAAATAGAGATTTTGAAACACTACCAATTATATTAATTAAACCTCGTTTCCTTCTAGTTCCTAATAGTATACGTAAGTTTCCTTTAGATCGTTTTATACTTGCTAAA